GAAATTGACATAACTATGATGTAAAGAAATAAGATTTATTTTTCTTACATAACCAAAAAACGGAGTAAAAATAAATGATGCAAAATTTTTTATTAACTTAGAATTTACACTGGCTTTACTGGAAATACCTGTCACCTTATGCCCTTATTACTGTCTCAAATTAATTTCTTCCAAAGTGGCTACCATTTCAAAAGACACCAGAATCTATGCATAAATGAATTTCCAGTGTGTTTGCTGTATGATTTTTTAAATGATGTAAATGGAAATGACCATTTAATGAATTCATTGGTTGGTTTTTTTCCCTAAATACTGTTGTGGTATCATTTTTTTACTCATCAGATATTTAACATTTCCAACTGATGGATTTTGAAATTATCTTCTTTTAATTTGTTAATCTGTGCTCAGTGAATAAGGTCTGTATAATATTTTGAAGTTTTGTTTTATAACTTAATATGTAGTCAATTTTCACAAATGTTCAATATGATGTTGAAGATAGATGTTAATATTGGTACAATATCCTGTATATGTATTAACATAAAGCTTGTTAATTGTTTAGATCTTTTATTTCTTTAATGAATTTTTTTCTGATTGAGAGAGGATTCATGATGCTAACTTCACTTTGTATTTTTGTCGACTCCACTGTAACTATTTTCAGGGTATGTTATTAAGTCTACTTAACCTTAGAATTGATGTCTCCTTAGCAAATTAAATTTTTCATCAACATACAATGAACTCCTTCTAGTAATAATTTTTTTCTATTTTGTCTGATATTAATGTAGCTATATTTTCTTTGGGTTGTTTGCATTACATATGTTTTCATTCTTTTACTTCCAACTTTTCTTATCCTTAGATTTTAAGCTTATTTCTTATAGTTTGTAGTTGAACTTTTTATTCTTATATTTCTTGACAGATTGGCCCACTTACATTTATTAATATTGCAGATATATTTGGAATCATTTTTACTTTTTAATTTTGTATTATTTTTTTCCTTTTCTTGGATTAACTAGCAAGATCTCCTTGTTCCCTTTTCATTTTTCCTGAAGAATGTGGAAGTTATATATTCTGTTTCTGGCTTTTCTAGTGCTTTTCCTTGAAATTTTAACATTTATGTTTAACTTAAGGTCTGAGGCCAGTCATTCTCTTTACCCTCCTTCCTAACAATATAAGGACCTTGGGACACTTAGCTCCTTTTGTCCCATTTTAAATTATAGTATGTTATGGTACAGTATTTGCAATCTATATTTTAATCAGACAGTATCATTGTCTTATTAATACCTGTATAGCTTACATGCATATTTATCAGTGTCTTGGTATTTCTTCTTGCATGTATCTTCCCTGCAGAATTTTTCTCTCCTGAAGAATGTCCTTGAGAAGTTTCCCTGTTGGGGGTCTGATGATAGTAAACTATGCTTGTTTTTGTCTGTCTGAATGTGTCCCTATGTGGCCCTTGTTTTGAAAATCAATTTTGCTGGTTGTTTAATTCTCTCAGCATTTTGAAGATCCTGTAATATGCATGCAACTTGTTGGAGCAACATGAGATGGGGGAGGGAAGACCCAACAAAGTACGGATAGATCAGTAACCTGTGTGCCTGCCCTCTGGGTGTGGTTCTTAGCCCCCGGCAGGGTCAGGCTTCACTCTTCAGGAGGAACCTGGGCCTCGTGGGGTGACCGAGGGCCAGGATGCAGAGGGATTGTTATGCTGTGATGGAGCCTTGCTCTCCAGGTCCCATGTGATTTTTGTGGCTGTGGGTTGGCCTGGCCCCTCCCCTGGCTTGCTCAGGGGCTGTCTCAGCCTCGAACTTGAGTCTGCATGACACAATGGATGAGGTCAGGGTTTGTATATCTGTAAACATGGTTAGGGGGCTTCCAGCACTTTCTCCGGCATGATTAAGACACCGGGGTTCAAGCCTTGTTGATTCAGACTGTTGCCAGTAACACAAGACCAGAGCAGGTTTCCGTGGAGCTTTGTGGGGGGCCACCTTCTATTTGGGGAGATTAGCCTGCAACACACCCCTGTTGTTCAAGTCTCATTATTTGTTAGGAATCTGCCCTTTCTCTGGCTGCTTGTAAGGTCTTTTCTTTGTACTGTTTTGGGGTTTGTCTGCATAGACACCTCTGTTCATCTCTGCTAGTTGGGGCTCCTCAAGCTGGAATAGTTTTGGAAAATTTGTAGCTAAATCTTCAGCTCAGGGAATATTGCTTATTGTCACTCCTTAAGCCCCTAATCTCTCATAACAACTATTTAATATGTATCTTGATTTTTCTGTGTTGCATGTAGGTTATTTTAATCCATCTTACAACTTACTTTTTCACTAGTTGCCTAATTTGCACTAAAGTTTTAATTTCACTTTTTTTTTTTTTTTCCTGTTTTTGGCTTCCCTGCATGGCTTATGGGATCTTAGTTCCCCAACCAGTGGTTGAACTCAGGCCCTCGGCGGTGAAAGTGCCGAGTCCTAACCACTGGACACCCAGGAATTCCCTAATTTCACGTACTATATTTTTAAATTCCTAATTTCATTTGGCTCACTTACAGCTGCCTTGGTCATTTTTTATAAAAGTCTGTTCCTTTGTGTTTTTGATGTCCTCTATCTTTTAACTTATTCTTGTAATGATCAGGCTTCCCTGGTGGCTCAGATGGTAAAGTGAAGTGAAGTCTCTCAGTCGTGTCTGACTCTTTGTGACCCCATGGACTGTAGCCTACCAGGCTCCAGGCAAGAGTACTGGAGTGGGTTGCCATTTCCTTCTCCAGGGGATCTTCCCGACCCAGGGATGGAACCTGGATTTCCCGCATGGTAGGCAGACGCTTTACCGTCTGAACTGCCAGGGAAGCCCGTCAGATGGTAAAGAATCTGCCTATAATGCCAGAGACCCAGGTTCAATCCCTGGCTTGGAAAGTTCCCCTGGAGAAGGAAATGGCAACCCACTCCAGTATTCCTGCCTGGGAAATCCCATGAACAGAGGAGCCTGGCGGGCTACAGTCCACGGGATTGTAGAGTCAGACACGACTGAGAAACTAAGCACTATTGTAATGATCAGATGCAGAAAATAAATTAACTATAGACTTTACAGGTTTCACGAGTGGTCTGCTGCTTGTACTGACCTTCATTTAGTCACTTTACTTCTTTGTTTGTTTAATGGTTTTTGATGGTGGCCTCTTTGAGTTTATTCTTGGAGATCTCTGTTTAATGAGTGTTTTCCCAGAAAATGTTTGCATGTGTTTGTGCCTGGGATTGGGGGAGAGACAATACTGGTTTGCTCTGAGTATTATTGGGCTCAGTAGGTAGTGTGAATTCTAGCCCTAATGTGTGTTAAGGCAGACTTATAGTCTCAGCTGTAAAGGAGACTTACTTTGTCCCCTGCTAAGGTCCTGCCATATCCCTCTGGGAAGGTAGGGTGGGTGGTTTTTTATTTTCACCCTCAGTTCAGTTCAGTTGCTCAGTCGTGTCCAACTCTTTGCGACCCCATGGACTTCAGCACGCCAGGCTTTCCTGTCCAGGGCTTCCCACCAGCTTGCAGAGCTTGCTCAAACTTATGTCCATCAAGTCAGTGATGCCATCTAACCATCTCATCCTCTCTGATCCCCTTCTCCTCCTGCCTTCAATCTGTCCCAGCATCAGGGTCTTTTCAAATGAGTCAGTTCTTCACATCAGGTAGACAAAGTATTGGAGTTTCAGCTTCAGCTTCAATCCTTCCAATGAATATTCAGGACTGATTTCCTTTGGGGCTGCCTGGTTGGATCTCCTTGCAGTCTAAGGCACTCGCAAGAACCTTCTCCAAAACCACAGTGCAGAAGCGTCAATTCTTCGGTGCTCAACTTTCTTTATGAGCCAACTCTCACATCCATACATGACTACTGGAAAAACCATAGCTTTGACTAGATGGACCTTTGTTGGCCAAGTAATGTCTCTGCCTTTTAATATGCTGTCTATGTTGGTCATAGCTTTTCTTCCAAGGGGCAAGCGTCTTTTAATTTCATGGCTGCAATCACCATCTGCAGTGATTTTGGAGCCCCCCCAAAATAAAGTCTCTCACTGTTTTCATGGCAAATAGATAGGGAAACAATGGAGTGATGGGACGAGTTGCCATGATCTTAGCTTTTTGAATGTTGAGTTTTAAGCCAGCTTTTTCACTCTCCTCTTTCACTTTCATCAAGAGGCTCTTTAGTTCCTCTTCATTTCTGCCATAAGGGTGGTGTCATCTGCATATCTGAGGTTATTGATATTTCTTCTGGCAATCTTGATTCCAGCTTGTGCTCCATCGAGCCCAGCATTTTGCATGATGTACTCATGTAAGTTAAGTGAGCAGAGTGACAATATATAGCCTTGACACACTCCTTTCCCAGTTTGGAACCAGTTTGTTGTTCCGTGTCTGATTCTAACTGTTGCTTCTTGACCTGCATACAGATTTCTCAGGAGGCAGGTAAGGTGGTCTGGTATTCCCATTTCTTGAAGAATTTTCCACAGTTGGTTGTGATCTACACAGTCAAAGGCTTTCACGTAGTCAATAAAGCAGATGTTTTTCTGGTATTCTCTTGCTTTTTCTATGATCCAACAGATGTTTACCCTTAGAGGCTGTTACTTTAGGGACCCTAGCCTTTTCTGTTTCTTCCCTCTCCCTGTCTCAGTCCCCTCCTGGATCAGGCTCTGCTGCTCAGACAGCTGGGAAAAGCCTCCTCCGGTGCCTTGCTGACGTCTTGGTTTCTCTCTTCCAAGACCTTCCCTTACGTTTCCATCGCCTCAGCCAAGCGTGTGAAGTTTCAGTAATCCAGCAGTTTTAGAGGCTCTGTATTGAGATTGTTTCTTTGGACATTTAATCTGCCATGATGCCCGAAATGGAATTCCTGCTGATTCTTTAAACCCAAGTTTATTTAATAAATCTATGAACCCACTGGTTAAGAAAGGACTTTTGAGGTCATCTAAGCTGCAGCTCCCTGCCCCTTACTTTATAGTTGGAGGCTTGAGAAAGCAAAGTGGTTTGACCAAGAGTCCAGCAGCCAAGACATGGCGGTGCGGAGCCTAAAGCAAACGTCCTCGGATCCAGTCCAGCCCCCTTTCCACCGCAGCATGCTGCTCCTCTTTTACATCCTGGGTCAGTGTTTGTTTTTATGGTATCTCTGACATTTAGAACAATTCAGGAACGCGCCAAGCCTGGTTCATGGAGACTTAGTACCTTGTTACACTAAGTGTGGTCTGTGGCTAGCCCATCAGCTCTGTCTGGGAGCCTGTTAGCAAATGCAGAGTCTCAGGCTCCTATCAGATCTTCTGCATCAGAATCTGCCTGTTCACAAGATCCCCGGATAATTAAAGCATGAGAAGCCCTGCTGGAGATAACAGTAATTAAGCATTCATCTGGATTTCCTGTTTCTTCCTTCAAACTGTCTCCACCTTTATCTTCTCCATGGTGCAGAGAACCCTCCTGGAAGCCCTGCTCCCAGGGCTGTGACCCTTGGTGAAGAAACTGAAAGACCTTGAGAAACACAGGTTTAGTATTCTTTCAGATTAGACAGGTTATTTATAAACTGAAAAGGAAGAAGTCACCCATCTGCAGCATAAACTCGCTGTGAAGTCATCTAGTGCTAATCTAATCTCTTTTGACAGAGTTCTGACTGGTGGGTTGGCAAAATGGAGTAGATTTAGTTCAGCTGAGTTTTGGCAGAGTAAGCTTTACTTTTGTGTTAATAGCAGAATTGAGAAAGGAGAAATTGACGTTCATAGAGTTAGGTGGAGTAAGATTCATTTTTTCAGAGGTTGCTGTCAAATGTACATCATTGGGGGCACATTTCTAACAGTGGGTCCCAGAACTATGTTCTCGCCCTCGTCTGTTCAACATTTTCTTTATTTCATTCCTTGTACTTGTGCCCCCTGCAGTGGAATCATGGAGCCCTAACCACTGGATCACCCCTTAATTTCATTTCTTGTTTCAGAGGCCATTTTAAGAAATGCTCAAGTTAGTTAAACCAGCTCTCCAGGTAGGTAGTGGGGTCCCTACAGTCTGGCTAAATCCAAGGATCGTGTTGAGGTGTTCAGAGTAAAGATGTGGGTAGAGGACAGCCGGCCGCAAACACTCTGCTAACGTGAGCTGGCACATTTTCCCTTCTCTCGGTCTCCTCAGCATCTCCAACCTAGAAAATCGACTGACCGGCAAAATCTTCGGGCTCCATTCTAAAGACTGTCAGTGGAGCGTTGAGCAAGCATTGAGCAGCTGTGAATGCAGCCTTAGCTCTGAGGGCTGCCCGCAGTGAACTTGTTTCACCTTGTTGGTTAAGTGTTGAGCAGGATGTTTTATGAGGATGGGCCAGAATCTTTTTCAGGAAAGTTCAATTGCCGAATGCGTCAATTTATCTACAGAAAATGCCAGTACAGCTCTGGAAACATGGATTGAACTAAGGAATACCCAGGAGCAGGACCCAGGGTCTCCTAAAGAAAGAATTTATAGTCTGTTATACTGATACAAAACTAATGACCAAGATCATAAAATTATAAGAGGGTTTTTAGGTTCTTTTTAAAGCATGGAAACTTTTACTCCATGGAATGCAGTTTGAAAATCATTGTTCAAAACACAGTGTAAATTTATGGTAATAATTTTTACATACAAAAATTCTCAAGCAGGTATAATTGAACACTTCAGTAAAAAGGAAAACTGAAAGGTTTCTTAATCCTTTAACTTTGAATAATGCGATTTAGTTATATTCTTTCATCATGTGTTTTACATTTCTTACAAAATAGGCATATTGGTACATTAAGGAGGATATAAATTATTTACCAAAATAATGTCTTTAGTTCTTAGTACCTGATGTGATATTTTTATTGGCCAAAAAATACTTCAACAAAATAAAAAAAATTAAAAAACCCTTTTATAAAAAAAAGCACCTAAGATTTACTATTTTTTTTTTACTTAAGTATTTACAGTTTTAAGTCACAGTATAGTAGTATTAAGTATGTTCATGTGTTGTGTGGCAAATCTCCAGAACTTTCAAATCTTGCAAAACTGAAGCTCTGTCCTCCCCCCAGCTCCTGGCAACCACCATTTTGTTTTCTTTAAGAGTTTGGCTACTTTAGATACTTAGATAAGTGGAACAAAGTGGTATTTGTCTTTTTGTGACTGATCTATTTCACCTGGAGCAGTGCTTTCAAGGTTCCTGCATGCTGTAGCATGTGACAAGACTTCCTTCTTTTTTTTTTTTTAAGGCCAAAAAATATTTTACTGTATGTATATGCCTCATTTTCTTTACCCACCCATCCATCAACAGATACTTAGATTGCTTCTATCTCTTGGCTATTGTGAATAATGTTGTAGTGAACATGGATATGCAAATATCTCTGATATGTTCACACTGTATTCATAAGTGTGACTCTTGGGTAGTTCTATTTTTATTTTTTAAATGTTATTGGAATATAGTTGATTTACAGTGTTGTATTAGTTTCAAGCATACAGCTAAGTGATTCAATTATGCATAAAGATATATTCCTTCTTTTTCAGATTCTTTTCCTACGTAGGTTACTGAGTAGAGTTCCCTGTGTTATATATCAGGTCCTTGTTGGTTATCTATTTTCTATATCGTCATGTGTATGTTAATCCCAAGCTCCTGATTTATCCCTCCTACCCAGCCTTTCCCCTTTTGTTGCCATAAGCTTATTTTCAAAATCTGACTGTTCCTACTTTGTAAATAAGTTTATTTATATCATTTAAAAAAATTAAATTCCACATATGATTCATATATGGCATTTGTCTTTCTGACTTACTTTATATGATAATCTCTAGGTCCATCCATGTCGCTGCAAATGGCATTTGATTCTTTTTTATGGTTGAGTTATGTTCCACTGTATACATGTACCACATCTTATTTATCCATTCCTCTTATTGATGGACATTCAGGTTGCTTCTGTGTCTTGGCTGTTGTAAATAGTGCTGCAATGAACATTGGTGTGTGTGTATCTTTTCAAATTATAGTTTTCTCCATATATGTTTCCAGGGTTGGGATTGCTGGGTCGTATAGTAGTTCTATTTTTAGTTTTTTAAGGAACCTCCATACTGTTCTCCATAGTAGTTGTACCAGTTTACATTCCCACCAACAGTGTAGGAGGGTTCCCTTTTCTCCACACACTCTCTCCTGCATTTGTTGTGTGTAGACTTTTTGATGATGGCCATTCTGAGCCACGTGAGGTGATACCTCATTGTGCTTTTGATTCTGGCTCTAGGCATGGAGCATTAGAAGCCAAGCCTTTTAATTAATAGGAGTCAATAAACATACCCTGGTTGTTAGAGCAATTAGATGACTTGGAAGGACTAAAGAGTAGCTAAAGAAGCAGGTGGAGAAGGAAGTGGCAACCCACTCCAGTATTCTTGGCTGGGAAATTCCACGGACAGAGGAGCCTGGTGGGCTACAGTCTGTGGGGTCACAAAGAGTCGGACAGAACCGAGTGACTAAACAACAAAGAAGCAGGTGGTGAGAGATGCATGAATCTGTGAGGCTGTGAGGGAGGATAGGACTCATCTGCCCGCCGGAGGGAACCTGAACGTGATCATTCTATCTTTAATTTTTTGAGGAACCTCTGTACTGTTTTCCATAGCAGCTGCATCATTTCACAATTCCACCAGCAATTTCTCCACATCCTCACCAATGTTTGTTATTTTGTAATAGTGTATGAGATTTTGATTTGCAGTGTCATGATGATTAGTGATGTTCAATATCTTTTTTATATACCTTCTGGCTATTCGCATATCTTCTCTGGACAAGTTTGCCCATTTTTTAGTTTAATTTTTGTTGAATTGTAGGAGTTCTTTATATGTTCTCAATATTAACTTGTTATGAGATATATGGTTTGCAAATATTTTCTCCAGTTTTGTAGGTTGCCTTCTCACTTTGTTAGTATTTGGCTGCACTGGGTCTTGGTTCCAGCACGTGAAATCTAGTTCCCTGACTGGGGACAGAACCCAGGCCCCCTGCATTGGGAGCATGGAGTCTTAGCCACTGGACCACAGGGAAATCCCTCCATCTCACTTTGTTGGTTGTTTTCTTTGCTGCAGAGTAGTAGTCATACTTCCACGTCACAGAAGTCGGATGTGGTTACACTTAGCTATTTTTGCTTTTGTTGTGCTTGCTGTGTCATAGCCAAGAAATGATTGCCAAATCCAGTGTCATGAAGCATTCCACTTATGTTTTCTCCTGGAGTTTTATAGTTTCAGGTCTTAAAATTAGGCCTTTAATTAATTTTGAGTTGATTTTTTTATATATAATGAAAGGATCAGGATCGTTCTTTTGTATGTCAATACCCAGATTTCCATTTGTTGAGGAGACAGTTCTTTCCCTATTGTGTGACCTTGGTCCCTTGTCGAAGACCCGATCAATACGAGAGTATTTCTGAGTTCTCCTTTCTGTTCCTCTGGTCTACATGTCAGTACCACATTGTTTTAGTACTGTAGCTTTGTAATATCTTTTCATACAGGAACTGTGAGACTTCCAGCTTTGTTTTTTATTCTCAATTATTTTAGCTTTCTGATTCTGTATGAATTTTAGGATTTTTTTTTTTTCTATTTCTGCAGAAATTGCCACTGAGAGTTTGCTAGGGATAACACTGAATATATAGATTGCTGGTATAGACATTTGGCTAATATGACATTTTAGCAATATTAAAGATACAATTCTATCTTATTTATATGGAAAAGCTGACTGTTTATGAAGGCTGCTTGTCCTACACAGCAACAAAATTATGCCATTGTCTTACTGACAAATACTTACTTTATTTTACCCTCTCTCTAAGAGAAGTGGGGAGGTGAAGGGGAAGGAGGAAGGGTTGCCTAGCTGCAGCCCAAGCAAAGCATTTCAGCTTATTAAGAAGCTAAAGGTAAGGGGCAGGGTACTTAGTAACTATCTCTCTGATTTACACCTTCCTGGAAATTACCTGATGCATCAAAGGATGTTCCTAGCAATCCTAACTTTTGTGATTGTATTGAAATTCACAGTAGGTATTAATAGTAGCATTTTACACTGAGCTCTGGCAGTTTAGGCTATGATTAATTCTTGCTCATGGATTTTACAGTGTAGAGCAGCCCAATAAAAGTTGCCTGTTGTGATGGTAGAGCTGGTTCCCGCTGTCATTATTTTTAGTTTATGAGTTATTTTTCTGTTGGTTCAGAATTTTTAAGTGAGCCATATCTTGGTTTATGGATATAATTTCTTCTTTATAAGGATATTAATTAAAATCTTTGGGCCTTTTTTTCTGTACATTGTTTCTAGTCCTTCAAGTTGTGTTCTTCTGCTTGCTTGGTCTATTTCTTTCACACTGGAAGCTGATAATCTTGGGGTGTCTTATATTTAAGGGGGAAAGCATGTAATTCCTGTGGGCAGTCCTCTTTTGCTGGGGTTCAGTGTGGGATGATGTTCTTTCAAATGCTGGTAGCCCTGGGTCTTTTCTCTAGGACTAGGTTTTTCCAAAGATAATCCATCAGACTGCTACTTGGAGTGTTATGTGTCTTCCTGATTTTTGTGTGACCACCTTCTCCTCATGCTCCGCACTGTGCTTATGTCTAGTTTGAAGCCCCTTTTTTAATTTTGTTATTGAAAAACTGTGTCGGGAGAACTTCAGGGGAGGAATCTGGGTGACTAGCCTCATTTGAACTTTGAATATCACCTTGGCATCATCCCTGCCTTCTTGCTACCTTATTCCCGCAGTCGTGGAACTTCTGGTTTTCTCTTGATTGGTGCCTTTTCTGGTGGCATCAGCTCTTCTGGTTTCTGGTCACTGCTAATTCCTCCATCTACTGTCTGTTCACTTTCACTGTCTGTTGCTCACAAACTTACTGTTCTCTCTCACTTGCTTGTACGCCTCTCCAATTTTCTGTAGTCTATGGCTTTTTACTATTTAAAAAATACTGTTGTTTACATTGTATTGTTATTTCCAGAGGGAGCAGAAATAAACCATACATATTTATTCTGCTGTATTTAATCTAGAGGTCTATTCTACTTATTTAATCTAGGTTCTATTCTGCCATATTTAATCTAGAGATCTGTTCTGCCAAATTTAATCTAGATGTCTTTCCTTCTTACATAGGAACTTCAAGACCCAGCTCCAGTGCCATGTTTCCATGCAAACCTGTCTCTCCCTGTAACTCTGGGCGCCGTTGGTGTTTCTGGGTCCTTCCCACAAAACAAAACTGTTGCTTCCAGTTCTTTGCCATGTGTTCGTTTCTGTGGCCATACAGCTAAATAATACTTTTCGTTAATGCTTTGTTTTTTAAAAAGCACTTCAAACTTTAAAGGGAACTAATTTTCAATCCCATTCAGTTTCAACTTGCTTATCTTACCTGTGACATAGTCATTGTGCAAGCATTAGGTTGGTTGTTGAGTCACTCAATCGTGTCCGACTCTTTGCAACCCCATGGACTGCAGCACGCTGGGCTTCCCTGACCTTCACTCTCTCCCGGAGCTTGCTCAAACTCGCGTCCATTGAGTCGGTGATGCCATCCAACCATCTCATCCGCTGTCGTCCCCTACTTCTCCTGCCCTTAGTCTTTCCCAGCACCAGGGTCTTTTCCAGTGAGTACTGGGGAATATCTAAAGAGCCACCTCTCAGAGGCTTGTGGTCTTGTGAGAGTAGCAGGAGGCACCCACCCACCCCTGAGCCATGTCACTGGAGTGGTGTGTGTGGGACAGAAGCCCAGGGTGCAGTCACAGGGAACAGAGGACGGGAACTCTGTAGGTGGGAAGGCTCCGAGCTTTGTTCAGGCAGGATCAAGCTTTGTTTCTTGAAATTTGGAGTTTCTGTAAAGAAATAATAGATCCACTTGGTAAACAAATTTGGAGAAGGAAATAGCAGCCCACTCCAGTATTCTTACTTGTGGAAATTCCATGGAGAGAGGAGCCTGGTAGGCTACAGTCCATGGGATTGAAAAGAGTCAGACGTGACTTAGTGACTGAGCAACAAAACAGTTTTATTTTTGGCATAGCTAGACAGGTCTTTCTGGATGGAGAGGCATACCTGGCATATAATACACACTTAATAAGTATTTTTTGATGTAATAGATGGAAAAGCACTTTGGGAACACATTGTAAAATATTCTGCTTTCTTACTATGTTAAAAAAATTAACCTGACATTTTTTTTTTCTCCCCAAATGTAGATTTTCCTTGCTCCTGCTTAACTTGGAGGAGTACTACTTTGAACAGCACACGGCTCATCACATTCAGCACAAGGGCAGCCAGAAGGAAAGGTGAGGAGTTTCAGATCTCTGCAGACTTACAGACTTTTCTGTTGTCTTTAGCCACACCCTTTGAAAACTGTGTGCAAAAGTATATAATGAAGTTTTGTGGGGTTTTTTTTTTGGTTTAAAATGCCAACTTTGAATTAACTAAAATGTATCTGTTAATTCTCTTGGCTTGTCATTTAACAACTATGGGCTGCAATTTAGAACACGCTTTGGTATTAGATAAACACTTTTTACCGTTTTAAAAATGAAATATCCCTTATTCCTGAAAGAATCAAAATCATGTCCAGTTCAGTTCAGTTGCTCAGTCGTGTCCGACTCTTTGCAACCCCATGGACTGCAACACGCCAGACTTCCGTGTCCAATACCAACTCCCAGAGTTTATTCAATGAGTCAATGATGCCATACAACCATCTCATCCTCTGTCGTCCCCTTCTCCTCCTGCCTTCAATCTTTCCCAGCATCAGGGTCTTTTCCAATGAGTCAGTTCTTCGCATCAGGTGGCCAAAGTATTGGAGTTTCAGCTTCAGCATCAGTCCTTCCAATGAATATTCAGGACTGATTTCCTTTAGGATTGACTGGTTGGATCTCCTTGCAGTCCAAGGGACTCTCAAGAGTCTTCTCCAATACCACAGTTCAAAAACATTAATTCTTCGTGTAGTTTTTGTGTAAATCAAAACTGTGTAGTATTTGTTTAAATACAAGCCAAAATGAAACTCACTTAGTTTTTTATTTGATACATTTGGGCATATCTGTTTCCTTGGCATTCAATCATATTAGATAATTATTTTTCTAATTGAAAGTAGAACCCTGCTTTTTTACCTCTAGAATTTTGAACATATTTTTTTCTCTAATTTCATACCTTTTATTCTCCCAATGCTCCTCTGCTCTCTGTCATAATAATGTCCTGCTTAAAGTTGAATACATTGGTACATTATTGAAGCACAAATGTAAGCAAGCAAACTGAAACCTGTTTTTGTAATTTTCAAGTTATTATTAGGTTGAAATAGTACAGTTCCATGGAAGTGAATTTGGTAATATTTAGCAAGATTGCATGTACATTATCCTATTGATCTAGCAATGCTACTTGTAGGAAACTACCTCAAAGATGCAGAGAGGCACTAGAAAGTGTACAAATGGACACATGTACTAGATTATTTATTGTAGTACTACTTGTAATAGCAAGATGCTGGAAACAGTTTAGTGGGTGACTGAATAACTTATAGAATGACCACATGCTGGAGTATTATTTATTAACAAAGGAATGAAGAAGTTCTGTGTGTCACTGTAGATTTTTCTCCAACACATATTAAGTGAAAAATGCAAGGGAAGAATATTTTGTGTTGGATGCCATCTTTCATATAAGAATGGGGAAGTTATGTTGATTATATTTTTAAAAGTTAAATATATATATTTTAAAGCATAAGTGAAAAGCTAATGGAAATGGTTATCTACATAGAAAAAGGAGGGATCAGGGGATAATACCAAGATGACAGCTAGACTACTCTGAACGTACCTTTTTTATAGCTCTGTTTTTGGAACCATAGGAATATTTATATGCAATATAGAATTTATTTCTTTATTAAATTTCAGGAGAAGCAGAAAATTCTAAAAATTAAAAAGAAAATGAAACAAATGAACCTAACTATATATAAAGCTGGAGGATTAATCACAGAAAAGAATTTTTTTAATCAACTTCACAACACAATAATTTGTGTCTCTGGTGAAATATATTTTCAGTTGAGGACAAATTGCAAAAAAAGTTGTGAATTGTTTAGTAATATTAAGTATTTTTGTATTATTTTGGAACTGTTTTATGCACACAGTTTTATACAGTTAGATAAAGCAAAGTGCCAAGATCAAGATTTTCAGTATAAAGGAGATATAGTTATAATATTAAAGGAGTTAAGTAAAAACCTTGGGATCTTTGATTTGAATTGGTAATGCTTATATGGAGTCATATGCTTTTCTTTTAAAAGAAAGTAGTTTCTAGCTCTGCCTTCTGAAAAGACCTAGAAGTGGCTCAGTAGCAGTGAGCTACCCTGTGAATGCCTCTCTCCAGTAAAAGGAATGAGGGCTCTTTGGGGAAGTGCCTGAGTCTAAGTGACGGGCAGGAAATGTGAGGGAGGCGAGCCTGGTGGAACATCTTGTTATCCTGGCAGGTAAGGAAAAGTATCAAAAACGATTGCATACTGAATTAAAAGGGCACAAGGCCATCCTGAAAAGTTGGGCAAAAGAAAAAAATGGAGCAGGTTGAGCATTAAAAAAGAATGACTATAGGGGATTGAAATGTACCAGAAGAGCTCAACTCCACGAGTTCATAATTATATATATATATAATATAAAAATTTCATACATATAAATATACATATATATACATATAATATATACATGTAATATATAATTTCACACATTTATATATATAAATATACATGTAATATATAATTTCATACATATATATAAATATACATATAATATATACATGTAATATATAATTTCATACATATATATAAATATACATATAATATATACATATAATATATAATTTCATACAAATTATTTATATTATATATAATATAAATAATTTCATACATATATATGTGTGTGTGTGTATCATTTACCTTCAAAGGATTGTAGAACACTGACTCCTTTTTCTAAAACTTGATAAAAAGATCAAGCATTTTTCCTGCTTTCCTTGTACAAATTGTACTTCAGGGTGACAAAATCATAGATAATTAAAGCTGTTCTTTGTTGATAAATTCTAGATAGCAAACACTGAAGGATTGTTAAAAATTTCAATCCCCGCCCCCCCAAAAAAAATTTCAATCCCTAGTGAATCAGGGATCGACAGACTATGGTTATATCTGGCTGCCACTTGTTTTTTTAAACAAAGTTTTATTGGAATGCAGTCACGCCCACTTGTTTACATCTTGTATCTGGTTGGTTTTCTGCAACAACAGGGAAATAGAGCTGAATAGAGACAGATACCAAATGGCCCACAAAGTAAAAAATAGTTGCTCTCTGGCTCTTTACTGAAAAAATTTGCTAACCCCTGATCTAGACATACTCCTCAGTGGCTGCTAAACCAGCAGGTGAAAAGCTGCTGAGAAATATTTTAATGCACATGTCAAGGTGCATTAAACCCATTAGGGCCTCCTGATATGAGGGCAGTACATGTGCACTGCCTCTGACATAAAGGAAGTGGGATAGATGAAAACCACAGAGACGAGTTTAGCAAAGTCCTTAAAGTGGGGAAATGAACACTGTCTTAGATTAAGAGAGATTAGGAGATATATCGACTAAAGGAAATGTGGGCTTTGAACAAACCAACTATAAAAAACAGTTATGAAATATATTTGAACCCTGGCTTTATCCCGGATGACATTAAGGAATTATTATTTTTTGTAGATATGTAATGATGGTCATTTATTGAAGGACTTGAGAGATTCATGTTAAAGTATGTTTAGACGAAGTATTGGAGAAGGAAATGGCAACCCACTCCAGTATTCTTGCCTGGAGAATCCAATGGACAGGGGAACCTGGTGGGCTACAGTCCATGGGGTCACAAAGAGGCGATGTGACTGAGCGCAACACAGCAGATGACGTATAGGAGGTCTGGGAATTTATCTAAAATCCAGTAGGGTTCTGGGGTGTTAGACACAAAACAGGAATGACTGCATCTTAACAGCTGCAGAAACCTAGTGGATTGGTACTTAGGAGTTTTCTGTTCTATTTGCATTTCTTTAACTTTTGCCTTAAAAGTACTTAAGTTATTATTAGGTAATTTAGGGTGTTAGAGAAGTAAATGTAGTTAACAGCATGGAGAAAATGATATAAAAATCAACATTTAAAAGATCCTTTGAGGAAGAAGAATTGCAGACTGTATCATGGCCTTTACCATGAGCCTTCTCATCCATTTGGTTACATATACATGTGTACACAGAGGCAGGCCTTTCTCAGATTGCGATGGGGCTTTATCCTGTGGGCTAGGAAGCCAGTGGCATTTTTGTAAGCCAGGAAGAATGTGAGAGTGTTTGGTAGAATAACTGACTCAGGGAGAGGGGACACAGGGACAGGGAGAGCAGGTGGGTCTTTCTAAAATCCAAGTAAAATAATTGCTTCAATTAAGAGACCCCTGGGATGGGCTGAGTGAGAAGGGTTCACTAGGACACCAAGGAATGGCTGGAGGAAAAGCCCAAATGTCATACAAGTAATTAAAAAAGAAAAAACAACCCATGGAGCTTTCCTTGTAGACAAAATATAGTCTTGGAAAATAAGATGAATTTTTTAAAAGGTTTCTTTTTTTCCCATCATTTCTTAACCTGTGTTCTGATTACATAATAAGTTATTGCCTTGGTCTGATCATTAATAAAAGTCATTCAGTCAATAAAAGACAATGAAGTGTAGCTTTTTATTGGCTTCAGGCTAGTGAGGCACACTGGCCTCTAGCATGCTCAGGCAGGCGTCCCCCCAGACTCACTGGAGCCTTATCCATGTTCCAGGAAAGGAGAAAAATGGTCGACAGCTGATGTATTTGGTATTATCGTAGTAGGTAGATCCTCTTTAAAATTGCTTATTCTCATAGAAGCAATTTTGCCCTGAATTCCTATGTACCCCAGAATCACCACTAAAAGCATTTTATGTGCTAAATTCAAACTGTTATTATTTTCATGATTATAAATAAGGAAAAAAATCCCTTACCTAATCAATGTCAGGTTTAAAAAGGAGTAGGATTACAGTATGGTCTTCTGAATAGGTGTTTAAGATGTAGGAAATTCAAAGTCAAAAGAATTAACCACAGACAGGATGGAATCTGTGTTTCTTAAGGATCAGAAAACTGCCTGTAGTTGTGAGGACCAAGTGAAGTGATAATGAGTAAAATACCCGGGACAGTTCTCAACCAGTGAGACTGTATTACAACACGTGGAGTTTCTTTAACCTCTAGGGAGGAGGTGATGGTTGTTGCTTAGTTGCTAAGTCATGTCCAACTCTGGGCAACCTCATGGACTGTTATGTAGCACAGTGAACTCTTCTGTCCTCCACTATCCCCCAGAGTCTGCTCACATTTCTATCCACTGAGTCGGTGATGCCATCTAACCACCCTTTGCTGCCCGCTTCTCCTTTTGCCTTCAATCTTTCCCAGCATCACAGTCTTTTCCGGGGAGTAGGCTCTTCATATCAGGTGGCCTAAGTATTGGAACTTCAGCATCAGTCCTTCCAGTGAATATTCAGGGTTATTTTCTTTAGGAGATGAGGATAATTATTTTGCTATGTTGTCTAACCTTTCATACCTTTGTCTTTGATCTTTTATTAGTTGATGCTTTAGTCATCTACATGCTAGTTAAAATGGGTTATGATTCTTCTGTGACTTCTGTTATGTTCATTAATAATATCCCTTTGTACTTTACCTCTAGGAAAATCAGAGGCTCCTTAAAAATATGTTCAAAATCAGTAATTTTTGAACCAGATGCAATATCCCAACCCATCATTAAGGTAAACATACTTTCAATGTGAAGAGAAATAACCCTATATTTGTGTACATTTTACCTTGTCTTATTTTTATAACATTTCTCTCTCTCAATTTTATACAGATTCCTTTGAGGGATTGTATAAAAATAGGAAAACATGGAGAAAATGAAGCCAATAGACACTTTGCAAAGTATGTCACTGTCACAACTGTTTGACTTTACTTCTACCAAAAAACTATATATTTAATGACTTTTATCTGCATTTTTAGGACAGTATCTGGGGCGATTTCACTCATTTTCAGCCAGGTAAGGAGCACTAGTTAATATTTTTTCTAACCTGAATGAACATTTAAATGAATAAATACATACATTATATGTTTATATGTGTGTGTGTGTGTGTGTGTATGGGCTTCCATATACACACTTTTTTTTAGAATAATGAAATTATTTGTACAAGTCTCAAATGAAGACCGCTGGAAAAGATGTTTAAATTCTTTTAAAATTTAGTCACTGGGAAATATGTTTTAAAAAGTGTGATCCCTGCTGAGATCCTTAACATTCCTCAGGTAGGTAGGTGAGTGTGTGTGTTACCTGCCAGCTATGGGTTCACCCTTAGGAGGTCCTGACAGTGTATGAGGTTTGAGGTAATGGACTTACAGGTTCTCCTGTAGCCTCGTCACCGTTTAGGAGGTGGGAGGCCAGCACCTACCACTTCAGTGAGCTCAAGTTGACTCATGATGGCAACCCAGGCGTGACTCGGGTTGTGTAGCCTTGTCTAATTATAAAGCTTGGAGTCGTGACTTTTTATTCATTTCACGTTTACTCAGTATAGATTTTTGCATCCAGCACTGTGTTGACACTGGCTGTACAGAGATAAATTAGAACATGTTTTTTCTCCTGACATACACGCCTGACCCTTGAGCAAAGCAAAAGTTCAGGTCACTGACAACCTCCAACACAGCTAAAAATTCATGTATAACTTTTGGCTCCCCCAAAGCTTAACTACTATGAATAGCCTAATGGTGCATTACTGATGACACGTGCTTAGTCGCGTTCCACTCTTTGTGACCCCATGGACAATAGCCCACCAGGCTCCTCTGTCCATGGGATTTTTCAGGCAAGACTACTGGAGTGGGTTGCCATTTCCTCCTCTAGGGGATCGTAAATGGTTGATTAATGCATTTTGTATGTTGTATGTATTGTATTTGTAGTCATACAATACAGTGAGTTAGAGAAAAAAGGTTATTAAGAAAATTATAAGGAAGAGTAAGCACGTTTGCAGTATGTACTGGGTTTATCAATACTGTAAGTTTGTCATCTGTTTACAAGTGAGTAACTGCACAGCAGGGTGACTGCTAGTCATTAAGTAGAAATGGATCGTCACAGAGGTCTTCATCCTTGTCGTTTGTCTTCATGCTGAGCAGGAGGAGGAAGGCAGGGTTTGATCTTGCTGTCTCAGGGGGCAGAGGAGGAAGGGGTGGAGGAGGTGGGTGGGTGGGGGGTGCAAGAAAGGCAGACACATTTAGTTTAAATTTACAGAAATACATCATAATTTCTTTTTCTTTTTTATTTCTCTAAATATGTTACTATACATACCCATCCTTCTTCCTCACTTTGCTTTAGATTTCAGCGCCTGTGTCGTAGAAGGGTCCATGTTGTAAAAGAAGCCAAAAAGCAAGAAAAAATAAAAAACCAGAAGCTTCTGCTCAGTTGTCTAACGTCAGTTTATTATCCGGCACTCACTGCATCTCCTCCCTCAACGTCCGGCTCTGGTCTGGGAGCATTCATCCGCATCAGGCTGTCCTCTCTTCTCTCCTCTGGCGCGGTGTCCATTAGTCCTTGAATTTCTCTGAGATCCATGTCTCGAAATGTTTCAGCCCCCTACTTTTCTGGCCATACCCATAATCTGATTGGCTCTGTCATAAATGCTGAGTGGCCATGTGCAGCATCTGAACAGTTTTCTCTCACAGGAATGTATGGTTTTCAGCTTGATGGCTTTCACGGCTTCTTCTGTAACAACCTTGGCATCTTCAGTGGTGCGGTCTTACAGACTCTCATGATGTTCTGGTTGTCAGCATTCTCTTCCACAGTACTGACAGCCCTTTCCATAGAGAGTACCATGTGCACTCAACCTTAAAGGTTCTTATGACCCCTTGATCTCGAGTCTCAATCAGAGACACTGTGTTTTGGGGCAAGTAGACCACTTTGACAGCTTTGGTGTTGAACTCATGGTTATAGGTGGCCGGGGTATTGTCCAATTAAAAAAAAATGTTAAAGAGTAGTCCCTTACTGGCAAAATACTTCCTGACTGCATCGGTGGGACAAAGTATCAATGGAACCAGTCCAGGAAAAGGGTTCTTGCGGTCTAGGCCCTCCTGCTGTGCAACCTAAACACAGCAGCTGTGGTCATCTCTTCTCTTCAAGGCTAGAGGTCAGCAGCTTTATAGATCAGGGCAGTCCTGGTCATCAACTCCACTGCACTTGTGCAAAACAGCAGGCTTAGCGTATCTCAGCCTGCCGTATTAACTCCTGGTCCTCACTTCTCTTCCTTCCTAATGAATGTCCTTTGTGGATTCCCTGCTCACCCACCCACCCCCAGAAGAGGGCACTTTATCTGCAGTAAAAACCTGTCCAGGCAGATACTGTTTTCTCCTCAAATATTTCTTGTGCTGTCTGGGAGCTCATCTGCTGCCTCTTGGTTGGCAGAAGCTTCTTTTCCTCTTATCTTGACATTTTTAAAGCCAAACCTCTTTCTAAAATTATCAAACCATCCTTTGCTGGCATTAAGTTCTCCAGCTTTAGCTCCTTCACCTTCCTTTGGCTTTAAGTGGTCATGTGATGACTTCATATTCATCTATAGGTGTGGCTTTCTTACAGCAATCCTGCACCCACATAAAAGCTGCATTTTCAACATGAGATAAAGAAGTATTTCACAGAAAGCGCCAGGTTCTCCTGCCTGCAGGGTAGCTGCGTGACTGCTTCATGAATTTCCTTTTCCTTTCCACAATGGTCCTTGATGCAGGATCCATTTATCTTGACACTGTGGCAGCCACAGCTGTGGACCTCAGCTCAATCAGCGGTATACATCGAGCAGTTCCGCTGTTGCTTGTAGTGTCATGACTTTTCTCCGTTTCTCTGGAGCACTGCCAGCATCACCAGTGGCACTTCGTGTGGGTCCCGTGGTGTTATTCAAGGTTTACGATCTGACGCTGAACACGATGAAAGATGCACAAGAACCAGGAGAAACCACTTTTCACTGCCATGCACAGTTTACTGTAGAGATGGCTGTTCACAGGGGGATGAATAGTATCCTGTGGCCTTTTGAGGTTGCTCTCAACACTCGTTCTCAGCATAGGGGGTGGCTAGGAAGCTATGGCCGTGGTACAGTGTGAGCTGCCGTGAGGGGGCGCTGTGACTTCACGCTGCATCTCTATATAATTATTTACATTTTCTCTCCAGTTGGTGCCACGTCTGGTCTGGAAGTTTGCGCATTGAGTTGTGATTAAAAAAAATTAACTTTTTATAATTCATGTATGTTTTATGGTTGTAAATCATATGATAGACTAGTATCTACATACATTTGTACATACTCATGACATACTTCTGTCTTAATTTTTCTGATATTTCTAGGCTATGCAGTTCATCTTTTTTCCAATTGTCTGAAATCTCCACAGAATTTTCCAATGTATTTATTGAAAACAGTCCACATGTAAGTGGACCCATGTGGTTCATGCCCATGTTGTTCAGGGGTCAGCTGTACTTAATTCACCCGTGGATCTTTAAAAGTTTTTGAGAGTAGAGCCCATTTTTGTTGTTTAGTCGCTAAGTCATGTCCGCCTCTTGGTGACCCCATAGATGGCAGGCCACCAGGCTCCTCTGCCCATGGGATTCTCTAGGCAAGAATACTGGAGTGCGTTGCCATTTCCTTCTCTGGGGATCTTCCCAGCCCAGGGATCTCCTGCATTGGCAGGTGGATTCTTTACCACTGAGCCACCTGGGAAGCCCATTAGCCCTGTCTTTTTGCTGTGAATCTCACCTTCTTCACCTTGAAAATGGAAGGGAGAGAGATCAGGGTTGCCTCCCCTCTGCAGAGCCCCAGATCCTTGAAGTGTTCAAAGAAAAGTATCTTTCTGTGAAATGTAGGAAAAGCCATGGGAAACAGATATAGAGGTTTCTTCACTTCAGTACTTGACTCAAAGCCTTGAGTCTCATGGGGTGAATAGTCTGGAACAGAGAGCCTCCCGGTGGTTTTCAGATCACACAGCCCTCTTGTTCATGGCCCTTTTTTAATGTGTATTGAGAATTATTTTATAAAAGCTGGGAGATATCAGGGTATATGATGTTCTAGGTCTGCCTTCCATGGTTCTATTAATTTTAGAATGTCTGTTAATTTTGACCTGGCATAAATGAAAGCAGTTACCACCATCTCTTACTTTGGGGAAGGAACACCATTATTGATAATTCTGGCCCACAGCTGTATTCTCATTATTACTACAGTATCATTCTATACTGTGGCTTTATTCTGGAAAGTCCATAATTCAATAAACCTAGAAGTAAAATCTTTCTATTTCCTTTCAATAGTTTATGTAAGATGTCTCATATCAAGCTAAAAATAAGCTATATTATATCAAGGGGCAACTAGACATAAGCTACTCTTTCAAGTATTAAGTTTCTTGGGTTAACTGCACAACCAAGGAAACAAAATGTGTGTGTGTTGTTGTTGTTGTTTTTGCTTACTTACCAGGTGACAGTGCTTTAGAAATATGTTATGGTTCTTTGGGCTTTAGAGAGCTTTGCTTCCATGTATTCTTTTGCTGGTAAAATAAAGAAGGGGTGTGTGTGTGTGTGTAATAGTACTCAGGCATCCTGGTGTGTGTGTGTGTGTGTGTATTAGTACTCAGGCATCCTGGGTGTGTGTGTGTGTGTGTGTGTGTGTGTGTGTGTAATAGTACTCAGGCATCCTGGGTGTGTGTGTGTGTGTGTGTGTGTGTGTGTGTGTAATAGTACTCAGGCATCCTGGGTGTGTGTGTGTGTGTGTGTGTAATAGTACTCAGGCATCCTGGGGGTGTGTGTGTGTGTGTGTGTGTAATAGTACTCAGGCATCCTGGGCTTCCGCAGTGACTCGGATGGTGAAGAATCTGCCTGCAATGCAGAAGACCTGGGTTTAGTCCCAGGGTCGGGAATATCCCCAAGAGAAGGGCATCCAACCCACTCCAGTATTCTTGCCTGGAAAATTCCATGGACATAGGAACCTGGGAGGTTACAGTCCATGAGGTCATAAAGAATCAGATAGGCCTGAACGACTAACACTTTTCACTTTTTTCATGCATCCTGTAAGTATCACAGTCAAGGCTTTAGAGATAGAAGTGAAGTTGCTCAGTCATGTGTGACCCTTTGCGATCCCATGGACTGCAGCCTGCCAGGCTCCTCTGTCCATGGAATTTTCCAGGCAAGAGTATTGGAGTGGGTTGCCCTTTCCTTCTCCAGGGGATCTTCCCGACCCGGGGATTGAACCCAGTTCTCCCGCATTGCAGGCAGACGCTTTACCCTCAGAGCCAGCAGGGAAGCCGGAGAGAGGAGGGAGACAAAGAGAAGAACAAAATATCTGAAGCCCCCCTCTCTCCAGGACCTTTACCTCTCAGTGGGGCAGCGGACAGCAAGCAGATGTCTTCTCTGATGTCAGGCAGAGACAGACGCCATGAGGAAGGTGAACCAGGACAGAGACCAGAACGTGAGAAGGCATGCAGGAGCTGCGATAGCGCCGCAGTGGCGCACGCCGCGCCGAGGAGGGCCCCGGGCTGATTTGTCTCTGACTGTGGGCCTCTCCAGCGCCTGGGACAGCAGGGGGCACCAGGCCAGCATCTCGGGGTGCTGACTTAGGTGTGTGGCCGGCCTGGCGGCTGCAGAAGGGTGAGAGCGGCCAGTGTCTGGGGTGCTCTGAAGAGAACCTGACCGAGGTGCGGCTGGGTTAGTGGTGAGGTTAGATGTGGGAGCAGGCTTTGCATAGACCGTGACCGGGAGGAGGAGCCGCTGACGTCTGGAGGCCTCTGCGCTTCGGGAGGAGGCTGGGCCTGGAATGACAGGCTGAGGAGCCACCGTTTGCAGACGTTTGGTAGGCCCCGGGGCTGGGTGAGGTTTCTGGGAACTGAGGCCCTGCCGCCCTTGAACACGAGAGGTTGGGAGGAAAGCAGGGGCCTGGGGAAGGTGGAGGAAGCAGCTGGTGAGGTCGGGAGCTCCTGGAGCAGGTGCTGGGCAGCCGACTAGAAACCTGCTCCACGAAGAGCCCCCGGCTGTGTCGCATCTGAGACAGAATCCAAGTCCTGAGAACAGTGACCTTGTGCGTCCTCACTGACCTCATCAGGAATGGCTGCAGTAACACGGATCGGAGGAAAACCTGATTTGGGCCCTGGAAAGTACATCAGCTCTGGCAACGAGTTTTGCCACTAAAAGGAACAGAAAAGGGATAAAAGGATGTGAGAACAAAGGAGCAGTTTTTTTTATCTGTAGTTTGTTTTAAATGGGTAAAAGCACATCGTGTGATCGTAGGAGCTACGTTTTTGAACCGGTGACAGATGTGGGGGAGGCAGACTTTCTGTTGTAACTGGAGGGAGGGCAGGATTAGGGTGCACGTGCGAGGAGGTTGATGCTGGGGGGGTGTGTGTGTGTGTGTGAGATATGTGGTTGCTAGTGTCCCATGTGAGGACAAGTGGCCTGGTGCATGTAAAAACTGCNAATTGATGCTTTTGAACTGTGGTGTTGGAGAAGACTCTTGAGAGTCCCTTGGACTGCAAGGAGATCCAACCAGTCCATCCTAAAGGAGATCAGTCCTGGGTATTCATTGGAAGGACTGATGCTGAAGCTGAAACTCCAATACTTTGTCCACCTCATGCGAAGAGCTGACTCATTGGAAAAGACCCTGATGCTGGGAGGGATTGGGAGCAGGAGGAGAAGGGGACGACAGAGGATGAGATGGCTAGATGGCATCACCGACTCAATGGGCACGAGTTTGAGTAAACTCTGGGATTTGGTGATGGACAGGGAGGCCTGGCATGCTGCAATTCATGGGGTTGCAAAGAGTCGGACACGACTGAGTGACTGAACTGAACTGAAAGGTTTGGTACTTAGAAGTTATAGCAAAATTATCCAAGGGAGCCACAGACTTCATTTCAAAAGATTTCAGTTAACTTTTTAGCTTAAAAATAAGTGGATCTATTAGTGAGGGGAAAGGCTTAAATTATTAGGTTAGAAGTCAAAATCAGAAGATGCATCATATTTACTGGGTATCGCTGAGGACTTCTTTTAAATGTTACAGAAATATTTATAGGTTATAAAATACCCTTACTTAATAGCTCAGTAATAAGTGTATAAGTTCTCCCAATTGGATAGAAGCTCTGAAGGACCAGGAACACAGGACTCGTAACTAGACATCACATCCAACCACTCTGTAGTACAGAGTACTTAATGCTGTGACTTCCGAAGTGGCTCAGTGGTAAAGAACCCGCCTGCCAGGGTTCCCTCCCTGGGTGAGGAAGATCCCCTGAAGGAGGAAATGGCAACCCACCCCAGTATTCTTGCCTGGAGAATCCCATGGACGGAGGAGCCTGAGCACAGGCCCAAGCTGCAGCTTAGCATGTAGTAGATGGGTAACTCCTAGCAGAGACCTTACAGGACCTAGAGGTGGGCCTAGTGCTCCTGTCATGACTCCTCTGAATTGTGAAAAGCCCCTCCTCTGAGCAGACCCCTGCAGGCTGGATGGCAGTCCTGGTCACAGGCCGGCCTGGCCTGCGAGTCCTTGGCAGCAGCTGGGACACAGTGGCCACCAGTAGCCACCTCCAGGTTTTATGTGCAGGAAACATCTATGCACACCGGTCAGTCAGGAGCAGTGAGTCCTGAGGCCTTGTTACTCACAGGCGGTGCTGCTGGCATCCGGGAAGGACGCTTCTTCACTGTGAGGGCCGTCCCTTATGTTACAGGATGCTCCACTCGCTGAGTGCCGCCCCCCCCCCCCCCCCCCCCCCCCCCCCCCCCCCCCCCCCCCCCCCCCCCCCNCTGCAGGGGTGGCAGGACCATCCCCCTCCAAGCTGAGAGCCCCTGGTCTTTGCACCCTCACTGCAGAGGTTCTCCTGACACCCACTCGAAGTACAAATCTGCTGAAAAGTGATGTTAGAGGAAGTGGGTCAGGTTTTCTGAAGCAAAGAAAAGCTCTTTTGTTCCAGTGTGAATTAGGACACCAGAGGATTCTCAGGTTTAAGGGAGGGAATGATGACATAGACAATGGTGATGAGAGATGGTAGACTGGGAAGACCCTCATTCCTCTGATGGGGAGACTGATTCAGAAATAGTACATGGATGAATTCCCTTTGTGAGAAATCCAGGTACCAGTTCAGAGCGCCCTGTGCCCAGGTGAGCGTGAAGTGAGCCACACTGAAGGTGCAGGAACGTTGGAGCATCCTCTCACCACAGTCCTCCCCTGGCACAGGGCATGCGATTGGAGGGAATGCCCAGTTCCCATCTTCTCACCTGTCCTGGAGCTCTGACAGGACCCATGATGCTCTAGATGTCTGGGGACCCTCCCCCCCAAACAGGAAAGAGCTGGGCTTGTGCAGTGCTCCAGGGGACTTTGAACCAGAGACACAGCAGATGCAGCCCAGCAGACTCACCCTCGTGGGGAAGTGAGGAGCACAGCTTGTGACACATAAAAAGTAACCATCACAACCCACACACACCCAGCCTCAGAGCACCTGAGTGTGTGAAGCCGGCACTGCCAGCACTGAAGGGAGAGACTGGAGGGTTCAGATGCACGGAACAGAGGAGACTTCCATGCTCCACCTTCAATAATAGGCAGATCATCCACGCAGCAGGTCACTCGGGAAACAGGACTCAACCAGTACTCTAACCAGATGGGCTTCATAGACACGTGCAGAACATCCTGCCCAATGACTGTAGGACATGCTCTTCTCGCGTGCACAGGGGACATTCTCCAGGACAGATCACACATCAGGTCACAAAACAAGTCAATAAATCTAATAAGACTGATGTCAGTCCAAGTATCTTTAATAGTCACCATGGAGTGAAACCAGAAATCCATAGCAGCAGGAAGATTTGTACGTATGTGGAAATTAAACAACCTTCTTGTGCAAACAGTGGGTCAAAGAATAAATAAAAAGGGAAATTTAAAAATACTTCAAGATGATCAAAATGAAAACATAGCTAAACTCCTGGGATGCTTTAAAAGCAATCCTAAGAAGGAAGTTTAGAGTGTTAAACACTTACCTTAAGAAAAGAGAAAGATCTCAAACTTAAAAACCTAACTAGATATTTCAAGGAACTAGAAAAAAGAGCAAACTAAGTCCAAAGTCAGTGGAAGGAAGGAAAGAGTAAATATAGAAGTAAATCTCTCAGATGGGCTGAGGGAGTTCCCTGCACACATCAGCAGGGGTTGCAAATATTCTTAAAGTGATAGGTCCTGATGTGCTTGTTCTCCTCTGGTTCAGTTCATCTTCCTCTCTTTTAGGGCACGATGGAGTATGTCTTCGAGCTGGATGTTTCAGGGAAAGTGGAAGATGTTGTGGAGACACTGCTTCAGGTAAGTCAGGGCTCTTCTCAGACATTCACTGGCAAACTTCTTAAAAAAGAATTTCATATTCATACATCTCACCAAAGCCATAAACTCTTCTATAAATCTGAATCAGATTTACTTGAAGGTGTTGAACTTGAAAACTCTACATTAGGAAGAAGTCATAGATGTTTTGGAATGGCTCTTAGCTGTTACCGAGTAACAGAATGGTGGTTGTGTTTCATTGCTTCTAAGGAACTATCTTCTTATCATCAGAGAGAGAAATAAATCCATGTATATTTCTGTACTCGTAGCTTCATAGAGCATCCTGTCTGGATAAACTGGGGGACCAAACTGCCATGGTGAGTTTCTAAAGACCTGTGTCTTTGTTGTGAATGAACCTGCATTGATGTGTCACTTACAGATACTTACAGCCATATTTTTAAAATGATTCTCTTAACAGATAACAGCTATCTTGCAGTCCCGATTGGCTAGGACATCATTTGACAAAAACAGGTAAGTTTTCCATGATTTGGATTCCTGGTGGTGAAAGTAGCAGTGTCGTCATCTCAGACCTCATTCAGCGTGTCCGCCATCGATGATGGGTGCTGGCATCTGCCTCGCCCCAAAGCTGCTGACCTGGGGCAGTGGCCCCAGCCTCAATGCCAGCTCAAAGTCCGGAGGCTCTTGGCCTCTTGAAGACCTGGGCAATGGTGCCCCCCCACCCCCAACCTCCCAGTCTGTGAGCGTCTATCCCTTCACACATTACTGCTTCCATGCAGGCCACCAGCCCCCTCTGCTGAGATTGCTGTGACAGCATTTAGCTCGTTACCCCTACACTCTCGAGTCTTTTCCTTCTGCAGTCCCTTTTTCTCTACTCTTCTGATTGTGCTTTTAAAATATTTTCTTTTTAAAGAACTTACTTGTTTATATCACTTGTCTGTTTGAAACCCCTCCAGAGAGTAAAGTATTCACTTTTCTAAGTATCCAGTATATTTTCTGCAAGTAACTATACTTTCATATTAACCTGTTCTCTGATCTGTTGCTTCCTGTATTTTAAGTAGATTTCCTTCTGTTAAGTAGATTTGGGCTATTTGTCTGTGTCTCCGTCTACAGTACCA